CATGGCGACCCCATGGGTGTCAGAATAGAGCTGTGTTCCACAGGGTTTTCTGAAACTGTGACCTTTCAGAAGTATATCACCGGGACGTTCTTCCAAGGTACTTCTGGGTGGATTCGAACTGCAAACCTTTCAATTAGCACCATCCAGGGAGTGCTTAAGGCACTTGACTGCTAACTAGAAGGCTGGCGGTTCAACCCACCACCCACTCCTCAGAAGGAAGATTGGGCAGTCTACTTCCATAGTGATACCTCCTTGGAAACCCAAGGAGGGGTTGCTATGAGTGGGATCTGATTCGACGGCAGTGAGTTTTTGTTTTTGTTTTTGTGTTTTTTTTTTGGTTTAGGGACTCCTATGTAGGAGACATTAAGGTCAATTCCTGAGACACTTTGTATCATCATCACCAACTCTTGTTGTTAAATGCTGTCAAGTCAGTTCCAACTTATAGCAACAGTACAACAGAACAAAATGCTAAACAGTCAGGTGCCATCTGCACAACCATTGCTATGTTTGAGCCCATTGCTGCAGCCACAGTGTCAATCCATCTTGTTGAAGGTCTTCTTGTTTACTGATCCCCCACTTACTGTAGGTCCTTCTCCAGGGACTGGTCCCTTCTGATAACGTGGCCAAAGTACGTGAAATTAAGTCTCACTACTTCTGCTTATAAGGAGAATTCTGGCTGTACGTCTTCCAAGACAGATTTGTTTCTCCTTCTGGCAGTTCTTCTTTGGTTTTCCTTATTCATTGTCCAGCTTTTGCATTCATATGAGCAAACACAACAAATGCAACGCACTGCCGTCAAGCGGGATCCGACTCATAGCAACCCCTCCTTGGGTTTCTGAGGTGGTATCCCTACGGAAGTAGATTGCCCAACCTTCCTTCTGAGGAGTAGCTGGTGGGTTTGAATCACCAGTCTTCTGGTTAGTAGTCAAATACCTTAGGCACTAAGCCACCAAAGCTCCTAGGCGATTGAAAATACCATGGCTTGGGTCAAGCATATCTTAGTCTTCAAGGTGAAGTCTTTCCTTTCAAATGCTTAAAAGAGGTCTCTTGCAACAGATTTGCCCAATGTGATACAGAGTCTGATTCTTTGATTGCTGGTTCCATGGGTGTCCATTCCTGCTAGGTACAGTAAATTATACAGTGGACACACTGTAAAGTGAAACCCTATGGTGGCAGTTCTACTCTGTCCTATTCCTGAGTTGGAATCTACTTGATGTTTAGAGTTATCATTTCCTTGTTCATATCTAAATCAATATTTGTTTATGATTGATTTTAAAACAGATTCACAGAATATGGTGTGTATTGTTAAAAAATAAGGCATAAAGAATTTAAAACATACAGAGTTTATTCGAGCAGTTAATTTATGGACACAGGGAGAGTATTTTGTTTCTGTAAAACCAATGGCTTCATGCTGGAGAGTTACATGTGGTTTTTAAGAAGAGGAGGAAATAAGAAAAGTCACCCATGGCTAATGCGAGTGTAACTGGGTGAGCCTGGACCCTTTACTGAGATCACCTGCCTTCAGGTCACCAGGTGGTCTCTCCCTGGAAGAAGGAACATCCATTTCCACAGACCTTGATGTGCTCGAGAGATGTTACAATGATAAATGTGCCTCAACTGCTCAGGAGACTCCAAAGGCTTCCAGTAATTTTCTCGGGAAACACTAGTCCTTAGCAAAAGAGAGATTTTGAAGGCTTTGTCATTGTGTCAGTCTGGCTTCCATTTTCTTCTCATGGACAGCACTGTGCTAATCAGTTTGTTTAACAATAAACTATGAACCAAACGCACTGAAAGTCTACTGGGCATGGCTAACAGAGCAAGTACAAACAGCGGGAGAGAATCCAGTCCAGATGTGGAAAAGTGGGATCTCTGAATGGAAGGTCTTGTCAGAAGAAAAACTACTCCTTGACTCCTATCCATCCTTTTGACAATGCTCAATAGACACCAAAAATTATTACCCTCTGTTGTTTCTGTATGTGATCAAGTCAATTCTGACTCATAGTGACCCTATAAGACAGAGTAGACTTGCCCCATAATCCATGACGCTGAGACAGGAAGTTAGATGGGGCCTGACTGTTACTGTCAAAGGGATCACAATAGGAGGTCCTAGATAGAGTAGGAGAAAAATTGGGAACAACACTAAAATAATAAATAGAAGAAAGCCCAGGCTAACTGATCTGATAGAAACTGGTGGAACCCTTGTGATATTGGTCCTTAGTAACCCTTCAAGCCTGGATCTGAACTCACTCCAAACTCAACTTCCTGCTTATAAGGTGATCAATAAACCAGAGAGGTGCAGACTTCAAAAGGGCAGCATTCACCCAGGGACAAAGTTCAGAAGGCAGGAAGGGATTGGAAATAAGGATGGATGGAAGTGGGAAACATACATCCTAAGGATTGAGTGTTAAGCACTGTGATAGGAGTTGAGGACACATGGACGTCTCCAGGCAGGTCTACCCTGATTGGCTCCTGCTAATTCAGAGCTGGAGTCCCTGGGGGTGTGAACAGATAAGGTGCTGAGCTGGTAACTGAGAGGTTGGGCTCAAGTCAGCCCAGAAGTGCCTCAGAAAAAAGGCCTGGTGATCTGTTCCTGAGAAATCAGCCATTGAAGGCCCTGTGGGCCCTGTCCACTCAGATCCTCATGGGGCCATGACTCATGGTCTTGGTGGGTGCCTTACCCTTCCGTGCTGAACCCATTCGTATGACAGTCCCGGGGTGAGAACGAGGTCTGCTTCTAACCGTGTCTTTAAGACTTCGTCAGGGTTTCCAGTAGATTCTGCCCAGTCCAGTCGTGATGGAGGAATCGTCCCAAGAAGAGACCCGAGTTGTTAAAGTTACAGTGAAAGAAAGAGAGCCAGAAGGGGAAAAATTACGGTCAAAGCTTTGCTTCATCTCCCTCTTATGGAAGAAGGCCAATTTGCATGTTGTGTAGCAAGGAAATCTCTTGCTCTCATATTTGAGGCCCAGTCCAAAGCAGTGCTGCCCCATTCAAAGATGGTGGCTCCCTCCTCAAACATGGTGGTGCCCTGCTCCAACATGGCAGCTGACTGTGCCTCTTGGAACAATTATGGCTCCCCTACAGTCCTGGCAATAATCTAGTCTCACACATCAGTCTAATAAAGTGTTCTAAGTGCCTCTTCCATGTCTCCCATTCCAGGGTTATGACCAGAAATTTTTCCTGTTCTGGGTACTTTCCTGAATCTGCCAAATTGTAAAATTTCGATTCTGTTGATATTTCACTTGTCAGCCATGACAGAGCCGTTTTAAAGGGCAAGTAGGAGTTTTGTGTCAGTTGGACCTTCCTAATCCGGGGGACTGCCTCTGGACCTCTATGCTCAGGGCTGTGGCAAGAGGCCTGGGGGTAGGTCTGGGCAATGCCCCCCTTTGGCCCCTAGGGGGAGCTGTGACTCTGCCTGAGCCCTGAGGCTGGTGGGGGAGGGGCAGGCAGGGCCCAGGACTGGGGATATACATGGGCTTCAGGTTTGCTCCTTGTTCCAGCTGGGAGGTGCCTGTGGACGACTCGGGACACAAGTCCACTTGAATTCCCCAACAGTCCCTGTGGCTTCCGTTTCCTGGGCTTCCTGTTATTCTCTTGTAAGCCCTTGTCAGGGCCAGCTCCATATAATATCCCCACATGTATTAGTTGCCCTGAGGAGAGCTGGGGTCCATGCCTCTTGGGTCCCCCGTGGCTCCCCACTGAGGGGTGCTTCCTCCTTGGCTGGTGTGAAATTCTGCACTCTCAGGAAGCCCTGCTTCCAGGGGTGGAGGAGCCCACAGGGAGCAGGGATTGGGGTGGGGTCTGCTCAGGAAGGAACCTGGGGGACGGTGGTGGTGCTGGGGGCTGTCCAGTCCATTCGGACTCACAGCTACCCCACGGAACACAGTAGAACATTCCCACGGGGTTTCCTTTATGGTGGCAGACAGTCAGGTGTTTTTCCCACGAAGTCATTGGATACGAGCTGCCAACATTTCAGTTTGCAGCTGAGTGCTTTACTGTTGCACCACCAGGTCTCTTTGTGGGGAAAGTGGTGGATGCTGTGTGCTCTTGAGGCGATTCTGGTTAACAGTCACCCTCTGTGAGACAGTAGGACCGCCCCATAGGGTTTCCAGGCTGTAACTTTTGTGGGAGCAGATTACCAGGTATTTTCCCTGAGGAGTGGCTGGTAGGTTTGAGCCACCGACCTTTCAGTTAGCAGCCGAGCACTTAGCCAGTGTCCTACAGAGCCTGTGGGGCAGGAAGGGGAGAGAAGACAGGCGGGCTGTAGCAGCTAGTAGGGCAGGGACCTCAGAGGTACCCCCTTCAGGGCCAGAAAACCCAGTGCCCCATTTCTTTCATCCACAGAACAGAGACTAAGCAAGAAGGTGCCATCCCAGCCTTTCTGAGCCACCATGAACTGTGGGCTCCAATGCTGGTTGATCCTTTGCCTCCTGGGCACAGGTGAGTCCAGGCTCAGGTGGACATCCCCAGGCTGACACGTCTACCTTTTCCTTCACAGCCTCCTGTAAGACAGTCCCCTCGGCACACTTTGCTTTCTTGTCCCCACAGGCTCCATGGACACAGGGATTACTCAGACACCAAAGTTCCTGGTCACAAGCATGGGGAACAAGAGGTCTTTGAGGTGTGAACAGAGTCTGGGACACAACACCATGTACTGGTATAAACAGGTCCCAGAGAGGCCTCCACAGCTCATGTTTCTGTACAACTACAAGGAAGTCTCTGCAAATGAAACTGTCCCGAGTCGTTTCTCCCCTGAGAAGCCCGACAGCTCCCACCTGTACCTCCACATGGACACCCTGGAGCCCGGCGACTCGGCTGTGAACCTGTGTGCCAGCAGCAAAGACACAGCCCTGCAGAGCCTCCACCGCCCTGAGCACAAACCACGGCCCAGCAGGAAGCTGGGGTGTCTGCTCCCCGGGCCCCGGGCTTCCTTCCTGGTGGACCTACAGACGTTTCAGATCCTGACTTCTCCCAATATGCACATGCCACCTCTGCATGCAGCCGCCACATCCCGTGGACTGGCCTAGA